TATGTAGTGGAAGTATCACGTTAATTTGTTTGCTACATATTAATATATGAATAGATCAATTGAATGAGGCTGAAATCGTTTTCCAAATTTGGTAAAATCCATGACCATATTTGCACGATGTAGATGCTCTATGAACTTAGCCAAATTAGTTTGATGTTGCAAAAAATCTAGTAACTATTTTCAGTTTACATGGGAATCTGGTATATACAAAAAAAAAACCATTAAAATATTGATCGTCAACTATCAATGTAAAATAGTTGCGACGTATTATTCGATTCTGATGAAATTTTTGTTGTTAAGATATTTATCTGGTTTATCTGCCCATTTTATCATTTCATACCAAGATCTGGGATTAACTATTCTGTGACCTCGTTCTCTTAGCAAATCTACAACATGCTTATGCAATCTATCGTGTAATTGGTATTTCTTATCACCTATCTAATCATACGGAATATAATATTCTTCATAATTTCTATTAAGAAAAAAGCAAAGCATATCAGGGTTATCTCTCCTATGCATTGCAATAATCTCAGCAATCCAGAGATTGAATTGATTTCGAGTTTGAGGATTTTTCACTTCGTGTAAAGTTAGACCTAAAAATTTCTTATCATTGGGGGTGTTATCATTTTTTACAACATTCCAGATTTGAGATGTTAATGATTCGGGTCTTTTCTTATAATTTCTCCAAGCATTTTGTATAATCCTTGCATGCCCAAAATCGGTTTTAGGCTTATCGCATTCATGATCCCAATGATACTGCATCAGGTCTTTAGATTCGACAATTTCGATAAATCTTTGCCAACCATAGTCGAACGATTTCCTAGGTTTCACATCATCAATCTTCGTAAGTTTCATACAATCAAGACATATTGCCATGTGACTTCTATGAATTCTAGGGCGATAGTAGTCAAAATCAACTAGCCTCCCCTTGCCATACGAACCGAATAAGCAATATCTATGGTAAAAGCTCCCTTTTCTCTCAGAGACCAGCTCTTGTAAAGGAACTCTCACACGGATAGCCCATTGTTTAGGAGTTTCATTGGGTCGAATAACTGATAATGCATCGTATAATCTTTCAATCTCAAAGAATTGATTGTATCGTTCACCACTAAAACTAAAATAATGACTAATATACGCCTGAATATACTTCATATCATACCCAGGACGGTTATTAATTGGTTTGGGTAATTGTCTACCTTTGTTACCAAGGATA